GTCCCTTCAATTCAAACCAGTCTGGGATTCTGTGATCATGAGAGCCTGAACTTACTCGACCTTTTGTCAAAAAAGGGACATGTTTATATATTGCTACAGCAGCATCGTACCTTTGTAGGCAGTATTGTTTATAACTTGTAATAACTTCTTCAAATATATTTTTTTCTGTCTCAGCTGCAGTCACGGTAACTGCAAGCGATGTTACGCACTTATCTTGCTGTAACCAGTTAAAGGCCTTTAATCCATTGCGGTTTTATGAAGACTTTCATTTTAAAAAGTGGATTTTTATGTTTGTGGACATCGGCACTACCAGCAAATGCACTTGGCTTCTGGTGTTATTTGTCAGCAAAATGCTTCCATTTCGAAGTTGGAATGAGTGGATTTTAGCAGGCGACTGAGAACAGTCACACTTTTCGTTGGTAGCTTCATCCAGAAAGAACCCCCAGATGGTTTCACCCACTTAGGCTCCCTTAACATTTATTTTTCAGCAACATTTACTCATCTGCTACGATATTGAAGCTGTCTTTGGGGTGCAGGCTCATGTATGCTAGAGAACTCCTCAATCACTGTGGTTGTATTTGCTGATGTGGTATAGTCAAGCCAAATTGGTGCAATTGCTTTGTCCATTAAGGGCCTGTGCTAATATACTTAATTTCTGTTTTGTTCCTCATTTGCTAAATCTTGGCAATACTGTCATTGCAACCATCATGGCAAAACATAATCCTCCTGAAACACAGGAGCAGTGCCTGCTTTTGTGTAATGTACGTTCTGAGCGTGATGCTCCCTCCCTCTCCTCTCAGAACAGGCTTTAAGCTTAGAGTCTTTGCTACTGCATTCCTAATCACACATTTAGTTTTATTGCAGTAGTGCCCAAAGTGGCCATTATAGTTAATTGTACTTTTCCATCTTGAAAGATGATTGAATTCATCCACCAAAATGCCTGTGGGCTGGAATTATGTGTTGTAATTTTCTGTGTAGAAGTAACAAACCCTTGGAAATACCATATGCAACAACCCTTGAATTATATGCAGAAGCAGTCTCTGGAATTGTTGTTTCAAATCTAGCAATAATGATTTCTTTCTAGAAACTGTTCTTTAAACACATTTGGTGGGGAACTGCAGAAACCTTCTTGTTATTCAGGAAGCAGCCTGTATGTTAAAATACATAACTCCTGAGTAGCGTGCAGGGAGAGGTTTCTTGTGATGCAGGTCTTATCCCCCTGGCTAAAACTTTACAATGGAAAATAGCACAGGGCATTGCAGCCTCCTGCTGGAGGGAGTACACAAGGTTTATGCACAGGAAGCATCCTCCTGCTGATCTGCTGGGACTGGTGTGTTGGTATCCTAGAATCCCAGCCTGGTTTGGGTTGGAGGGACCTTAAAGCTCATCCAGTTCAAACCCCTGCCCCGGGCAGGGACACCTTCCACTAGAGCAGGTTGCTCCAAGCCCCTGTGTCCAACCTGGCCTCGAACACTGCCAGGGATGGGGCAGCCACAGCTTCTCTGGGCAGAGAGAGAAATTCTGCAGCGTTCTGGTATTCTGTAGCATTTCTTCAAATGGGAGGTTTGACCAATCTGCTGCATGTCCAGTGCATTCATGTCATCCATTGGAACTTGTTTAGCACAGCCAGAACTAGCGTTGGTTGGTATCACCCATCTACCCCTTTCCTAGAGTTTGGGGTTAGTATTTCAAAAATATTAATGCAAAATTCATGGGTATTTTACAAAGCCAGTGTTTACAGTGCCACTGTAAACGTGCAGTCTAGGCTGGGCACTTTTGCATCCTTTAGAAAGGAAAAGCTCCTTTTGAAGCAGAAGCCAATGCTGAGCAGCACACAGCCCAGCTGGTGCTCTTTAACCCGAGCCAGGGGTTTGCATTGTTGGGCGCAGGCCATTTGCATTGGGTCCACAGTGCTTCTATTCATGGTGTGGAGCTGCATCAAGACAGGTGGAAAAAGGAGGAGGAGTGGGGAAAGTTGAATGAGAGACACCCAGAAGCCAAACTTGGGGTTTTTTTATTTTGCATTTTATTTGATGAAATAGACTGTTGCATCTTTTGTGCTCCTGTGAATACGTGCCCATCTGCTCCAGCATGCTTGTAAGTCGCTCCTGGTGGCTGCTCAGCTCTTGGCATGTTCAGCACAACCAAAATTCTCCCATCGCTGCCCCATCCTCCTCCAAAGACAAATAAAGGTCAAGCTAAATTTCAAAAGCAGCCAGGCAGGCAGCTGTCAGTCAGAGCCTGAACTTGATGAAGCTTTCATGCTCTTTGCTATAAAAGCAAGTTTACTTTTATTGCTTTTTAAATTTTATTGATACTTGGGAATTGTGGTGGACCTTCAAATTCTGCCCACAGCTGGTTTGATTTAGCTTAGCTTTAAAAAGGAACTGTCTAAGGAGTCTCTGGGAGCAGTTCTTCCTTAAAGTGATTGCTGCAGCTGAGCATGGCTCAAAAAGCTAAGTTCTTAGGAAAATGAGAAGGAAAAAGCTATAAATGAGTCGAAAGCTTTTACTGAAGTTATATAAACATACTTACAGAAATACTTGAATTCTGGTGGTTATTGCTATGAAACATTTATAGAGGAAAGTTACAGTGAGGTTCAAACTCAGCTATTTAGCACTCTGGTTAAAACTCAGATGTTTTTTGAGGTATATCTAATGTATTCCTATGCTAAAAGCTAAAACCACCATTCGGTAGCCAAATTGGCCTGTGGGCAGTTCTGGAGGTCTCCGAGATAATCGTAAACAGTGAGTCCTTGTTAAAACAGCTGTACTAGGAGGTGCATTGAATTTATGCTGGTGTAATTGGCAACTTATTTGGATGAGTAACGGTTGGATTCGTTTTATTCAGTTCTATATATTCTGCATGCTTTATTTTATGAGCTTAGCTGTTGGGCAAAGCTTGGGAATACAATCCGGTGTCTTGCAAGTGTTGAGGTGGCCCCTGTTTCATCCTCCTGGATTCAATAAAATGTCTTTGGTCCTCGAACTGCTGCATTGTGTGTCGGGATTCTTCTTATTTAGGTATATTGAAAATACTGGTGCAGCTAAGAAAACAAGAGAGGTTTTTGTTGCTTTAAAAACCAGTATTACACTTGAGGATAGAAATGAATAGCAAATGAGAATCGACCCAGGGCTTGATTTTTATGCCATTGGAATCTCAGAGTTCTGTTGTTGATTTCCATGGGAAGCAGGGTAATCCATCAGCTGGGATCCGTGATCACTTCTGCTGAAAATTGAAAGATACCTTTGTTTTCAGACTGGGAATCTGCAATTAGACTTGGTGTGCTGGATTGTGGGGAAGAAGAGAACTACGAGACGTGCAAAGAATATGGTATTCACTACTACCCAACGTTCAGGGTAAGCAGTGTAATATATTGCCTTAGGTAAATGATCCATGCTTTATAGGAACTACAAGCATAACAAACATGCTTATGCAGCTCCTTACATGTAACTAGTTGTTCTTTAGCTGGACTTTTTTACTTTTGCTGGGAAAATTGCAGAGTTTATAGAAGATGAATTTGAGTTTGTCTCACTGAATGCAGTAGCAGACGCAGTTGCTTGAGCAGCGATTCAGTCCTCAGTTCTGAATCTGAAAAACTTACTGAAAGAAGATACCATTGTAGGAAGTGCTGGGTTGTTACATTTATAGAACACCTAGTTGTAATATACTCACTGGATAATAACAGTTTACATGAATATTTTGCTAATTCAGATTTTCGTGATTATTAACAGTGGTTTTAGTTTTGGTATGTGAAAGTAAAGGTAATACGTTGAAGTTAAGATCAATCAATGATATATTTTTATACTATTTTTCTAATTAACTTCATAATTTGCTTAACCTAGTTTTTAAAAGGGATCTTGTATTTGCCAAAAGTATCCTCACTCACTCATTTTTAGGTGTAAACACAATCTTCAACTTCTCTGTCTTTGCCAGTCTGTATAATTATATTATTAACTGTAAATATGAGCAGAATGTGATAGAGAGGATTGAATAGACTGTGTTTGTTATAACAGGAGAGGGAACAAGAGATGTTTCACTGCAGAATTTGTGACTCTACCCTAATAGAAGGAACAGTTTTATTTGGTTTTTATCTTTCAAGTTTTGGGTGTAAATTGGAAACACCAAATCTTTTCTATTTCATTTTTCATAGCAGCAGGCAGTCAAGCTCCATTATATATCCTGTTTAGCCACTGGAGGGAGTTGAGAAAATGTGAATAATATTCTAAGTATACACACAGTTGGTAGTAACTGATTTGGTAATCACTTGTGTTTGGGTTAATGTTTGCAGTAATGGATCAATACACAGTACTGCATTATGCATTAGGGGGTTTTCCTCTAAAATTTGGCCTTATTGTGTATCCAAGTTTTGACTGGTGCATATGAGCCACCCTCAGATGGTTGAGAAGCAGGTCTTTGGAACCAAGGGTAAGAGGGAAAACTATCTTCTGAACAGATAGAAAATGTTTTGTAATTAGAGCTGTAGAATGTAAAAACTGTTGAAAGCCATTTTTGTTTCTAAACTGAGATTTTGTCCGACACGATGAGTTATTTTCAAAGCACTAATACTTTTTTTTTCCTTCCACGTAGTTCTTCAAAGCGTTTACAAAGCAGTTTACTACTGGAGAAAATTACAAAGGTAAGAATATCCTACAGTAAGAAATTTCCAAAGCAGTTATCCTGTGGGCCAGGAATGTGGTGCACAAGGAGCAAAATCCCTTTGCCTGTCCGTTAGTTTAGACAGCTAGAGATGGGCTGGGCACTGAGTAGCTCTTTAAGATACGATATTGCAAGTACTGTATGAAAATGGAATGTCAGGCAGAATTTTAGACAGGAAAAACATTTGTTCAAGAACTCAGAGCTCACATTCCTCATTTTTTTGAGATGTAACTCCTCTAATATTCACAAATGGCTCGATGGTGTTTTAAAATGCGGTGTTTTTTCCACCACACACCTTATCAGCAGGAGATCCCATTTGCTCAATCCTGACTCTGGTGCTTTTTGATCTGTCAGCCACTTCCCAGGCATCCTGAATCTCACTGGGGACAACCCCTATTCAGATGCTGACTAACTGAAAACAGGCTTATCCCCTGTGTCTGACAGGATCACAGCTTGAGGTGGTTTGTCTGGGGACAAGAGTAATGTTGTCTTTTTCAATGGATTAACATTTAGAAGGCCAGAGGTCAGGAGACCACCTGCACCATTAACCCTTCATGCAACCGCCCATAGTTGTACCTGTTACTTTTGGGGATTTGTGAGTGTTTCAGGTTTTAAATTAATTTAAAGAAAATAAATTATTCTCACACTTCAGTTATTTCCTCACATGGTTACAGGGCTTTGGAACCTCACCTGGCTGTTTGGTAAGAACGATTAAAAAAAAACCCTTACAGGTTTTAATACATGGTGAATATCCTGATTGCAAAAAACCAAGCTACTGAAGTTGCCCACAGCAACGCTAGTGAAAATGAGCACAGCTTTAGAATGAAGCATTGTTTGAAGAGAAAATCAGCAGGGCAGGCAGATGGTTAGAATTGAAGTGTCTTGAGGTTTTATTAATTTTGGGGTGGAATGACAGCTTTTAAATCATCTCAACATTCAACTGAAATCCTGCAAGTAAATCCTTAGTTCCTGTTCTTCAGCCAAATAATATTCTACTTAAGTCCAAAAGTAAAACAAAAACCTGGCACAGAAGAGCAGGAGGATGTATGAAAACCTGCATGTGGGTCGTGTTGTCCCAGTTTGCTGAAGCAGTGTATTTTTTTGCAACCTGTTCTCATCAGGAGCAGATCGAGAGCTGCAAACAGTGCGTCAGATGATGATTGACTTCTTACAGAACCACTCCCAAGAGCTGAGACCTCCTGCTTGCCCGCCGCTAGATCCCGTTCCGTAAGTTCCTTGTTTAAAATACAGCTGCTGCGTGCTTACTATGTTAATTAAATACAGTGCAGAAGGTCCTCTTGAAGTTGAAATGAGCCTTTTTTCTTATTATCAGTTCTGCTGTGAGATTGTGGGTATACTGCATTCTACCTGTGCTAAATAGCTTTTCTTTTCTCCAAAGGTCCAGTGATATCACGTCTCTTTTTGACAAGAGCAGCCATCATTATACTGCCATTGTGTTTGAAAGTAATAACTCCTATGTTGGACGAGAGGTAATGTGTGGCTTATGAATGACATAATGAATATGAGTGTTGTCATAGCACAGCTGAATTTTATGTTACTTAGCTGAACAACAACATTTCTGTTTTCAGAGCTGAATTAAAGGGTCATTAAGGGCAGGTCATGCATATTTGAGATACCACAAAGGGGTTATATAGGGCTGTTGGACAGACTTGCTTACAAGTGAATGTGACGTCAGGTTAACTTCTTCCATTCATGTTTTAATGGAAGATTACATTATCAATTTCATTGTTAGCACAAGTCTTTTTTCTTTTAAGATTTGGAAGATCACAACAAATGTGTTGTCAGATTATGTTGTTTTCTCACTGCTAAAGAACCGTTCCTAATATTCATTCTTCTGGGCAGCTTTTTCTACTTCAACTGTTCATAATATAAATTCTCTGGTTCTCTTTCTTCACTTACAGGTTTTAGGAAGTTACATTCTAAGTTAAGTGATAGCATAAAATCATTTTCATAGCTCCGAGGCACTGAGGAAGTGGGAGTCTTTGGCTTTTTGCTTCTCCCACCCCCCCAATAAGAGATTTGATTTGGCATGATTTCACCACCTAATGAGCCTGCTGTTAGCTTAGACAACTGTTACTTTTCTCTGCCTGCCAAGATCTAGGATAAGTGAAGAAAATAAATTGCATAATTATCTAGGCATAATCTGTGTAGAAACATCCCATGTCTGTGAAATGTTTCTAATTAGATTTGATGCTGAGATGGCCCAGTTGCATAAGTGGAGGAGAGTGTGCTGTCAAAAGCTAGAATGCTTTGAGAAGCAGGTTGTTCCCAGACATTTGTTTTCTGGAAGCTGATGGGTTGATCGAAATGGACAAGACTGAAAAGAAGAAATGGGATGATTATGAAGTTCTTCAGCTTTTGAACACACTCACTTTAATTTTATTACCTGCTGTAAAGGGGAAAGACTTGAGTGTCGTTTGATTAACAGAAAGTGAAGTCTGCTTTCAGAAGAAGAAATATTTGTTGATGTTATGTGGGGTCCCTTAAATTACAAGTTTGAAAATGAGGGCTAATGTAGCAAAGGTAATATTGAACTGAAAGGGAAAAGTGTAGTGGAAACTGTGAAACTAACAACAGGAAAAAGATACAGAAGAGGCAGAGAGGCGTAAAAGCATGGCAAGTAGAAATGTATGAGGAGTTGGAAGCATGGAACAGTTCATAAGACTGGAACATTTGAAATAGTAGTATAAGAGCACAGGCTAATAGAAGGATGTGAGATGTGAGGGCTATTCTCATTAGAGGAACAAAAGAGGGTGTGTTTAGCAGTGGGATCTTGAAGGATTTGAGAAGGGCAAGAACTCAGTATTTAAACTTTGTTTTTTAAAAGGCAAATTCTCATTACTTACAACTGAGTCATCATATTTGTAGGTGCAGCTTTGGCTGTAGTTGGCAAAGAATTTGGGTAGTCAAGTCCTGGCAAATCTTGGAGGCATCCTAATGTTAACACCCTCTTCTGCCTCCACCACCCTTTGCTGAATTTCACATCTTGCAAAGAAATCTGGGGCCACTCCCAGCTGCTCTAGTGCAAAAGCCCAGCATCAGGTGTAGCAGTTGATGATGATTGGTTTGAGCTGGGATGCTGGAATCTTGAGATACGGGCACCTGTCCCTGTAGGGGGTCTCTGCTCTGGGATTGGCAAACAAAAAGCTGAACAGGGAGCTGGGTGCTGTGACACCACAAACTACCCAGCTTGATGCAGCAGGACTTGCCAGGCAAAGCCTTAACTCCCATGGAGCCCTCAGTTGTTTTCAAAGTCGTAGACTTTGACATCAGAATGCCATAAAGTGGTGGGACCAATGTTTCTTCACTACCTGAAGATTTGCCTTTAGACTCTTAAATATATAATATGAAACATAAACCTGCTGGTGCCTGTGGAATATCCTCTGGGCTATTTTGAGGTTTATGAGGACATTTCATCGTTCATTCTCATGTTTTCTTCAGATGTTAGACTTCAAAGGGAAAAGATCAAGATAGACCAAGGAGGAAAAAAAAAAGGAGATAGGAGTAATAATTTCCAGAGCAGAGTAAGTCTTCTTTAACTGAAATTGTTTGTGTCCACAGAATACTCAGAGATGTATTCTGTGGTGAACAGCTTAAAGAATGATGCACTTCACCTACTTGTGTCTTGTCCTACAAGATTGCAGACTCCTTGAACAATGTATAATTCATGTCATCTTTTCATTGCCCAGGTTATTTTAGACTTGATCCAGTATGAAAACATCATTGTAAAGAGAGTATTGAATTTTGATAAGCCTTTTCTTGAGAAACTTGGTATTACCTCAGTCCCTTCGTGCTACCTGATGCACCCTAATGGGTCCCATGGATTAATTAACAGGTAGGTAGTTATCTGGCAAGGAATATGGCGAGGTCCATGTAAGCTATAAAAGCAATTTCCACAGGTTTCTTTCATACAAAGGAAATTATTCTATAACCTTCTTTTGCATATTGATAATGAAGTTGTGTCCTGGCATGTTATCTCTACACTGTACTGACTGAAGTTGTGTTACCTATATTATTAATGAGACCTAATACTAATTTTACTTACCACTGTTATAGCTTTAACCTATTACTGTGATGCTTCTGAAAGGAAAACACTTTGGAATAAAAGTGGAAAAAAAACTAATGAAGTATCAAAGTTCTTAAAAAAACTTGCTTCTAAGTCAAAAGACTTGTTCCTTGTGAACATTGCCTGTAAGGTGAGCTGATGTGTTCTTATTTTGAATAGGATTTCAGACCACTAATCCAAATCATTGTTATTACTATTCCTAAATTGACCCATTATTTGGTTTCACTTTGTATCAAAACATAACATGCTGCACAAGGACTGTGAAACATGAAACAAAGTGAATATCTTATTTTATAACTACACTAATTTGCTGTGGATATTCACTTAGTCTGAGATGAAAAGTAATCTTTACTTTGTCCATTTATATGCAGTTTGAAGCCTCTACGGTCTTTCTTTTCTTCGTATTTAAAGTCACTGCCAGGTGTAAGAAAAAAACTTCTTTTGCCACTTCAGCTGCCTGCTCAAGAAAACAAAGAGGAGAGTACAGAAACCAAGGTGTGGAAAGAGTTCGATAAGTAAGTGATACCCTTGATTTTCAGATCAATGCTTGGTTGTTAAAATTCGCCTGCAGTTATTTTCTTGCCACGTGGAAAGCTGTGCTTTCATGTATTATAACATCATAGATCACTGATTTGAATTGTTGGAAAACTTCAGCAACTAATCATTGTCTCTGAAAAAATAAATAGAAAGTAACAAGCTACAGCATTTCTGTATAAAACAAGAGTGCTCTGCATGTGTAATACTGAAGCAGTGCCCACTAAAATGTGCTTGTCAAATGCAAGTGTAATAGAAAATACTAAAGTCATGGTAAAAGAAGTTTATCAAACTAAATCCAGTAAGGTTTATCTTCACCCTCTTTCCCTCTTTGTTTGAGAGAAGGATGCAAAGGCTTTGCACAGAGATAATCCCTCAGCATCTTTAGATGGAAAAGACGTAGGACTGAGTGCTTCAATTTTGTACGTATTTTCCTTTGATAGACACTATTAATGTCGTCTTCTTCCAAGGACTATTATAAAATGCTTTATACAAAACATTCTGTTATCAAAACAACTTGGTTAAATTGAGCTGCTTTCCAGCAAGACAAAATCTTGTAGATATGAATCTCCAGTTCAAGTATCTTCTAAATAGGATCCTTTGGGAGAACCTCATGTATTCCTATGGATGTCTCTTTATTTAAGAAACCTGAAGCAGAATTTTGCTGGTTTTAAGATTTGAGTGAGTACCTTATTAATTGAGATAAACTCATACAAGTCTGTAGTTTGAGTGGTTAATATAGATTATTCTGTATTTTAATATGTTTCTTCCTGCATGTTATTTAGGAGGTGGGGCCAGGCAGTTTCTTGATGATTGTTCTTTTTAATTCTGTTTGGTTTTAGAGATAATACTGCTGCTGAACTCAGTGTTAACTCCGTAACTATGTGAACTTCTGTTTGTTCAGTTACATTGCTCTGTGTTGTACTGTCTAAAGTTTGTACTCTGAAAAGCATTAAAGGTAGGGTGCTTTACCTGATGCATTTGTAGTTTGTAACGTGGTTTTTGTTGGTATCTTCTTTTTTATAAAGATATTGGTTGTGAGAAGGAACTCTTAAAATGTTTCCTTTGTTTTACATGCTTTAGTTGTACCTGCTACGAGGTACCTAAATTTGTCTTAAGAGCTGGTGTGATTAGAATCGTTATACGCAAAGAACCTCCAGTAAAACTGCTGCATGTGGGAGAAGGTTTCTAGATTCAGACCTTTCCAGCATTGTTTGCCCTCCTGCTCTGTGTATAATCTACGTTTGTCCAACAAAAGTCTCCCTTTTCTCATAGCATGTAATTTTTCTATTTGTGGTCAGGCTTGGAGAGGAGCTGTAATTTCTTTACACTACTGATTTCCTTGCTGACGATGTCAGGGTTATAACTGTGTTACAAGGTAAAGCTGGCTGGGAGGCAAAAGTTTAGTCAACTATAAAAGAAATTCTTGTGTGTGGTTGTGCTTCATTTGTCTACACTCTGAACAACATGACTTAAAATTACACTTTTCAGAGAGTATGGTGAAACTCATTGAACTTGACATTCACCCACCGAGTGCCTGAAGTAACCGCTGTGTCTTCCCATGCTGGTGTAGGATACACTGCAATCACTGTGGAGTGGCAAACGTGGAGGTTTTAATGACACCCACTATATATCAATTTTACCTTCATGACTGGTGAGAAAATGAGCGAAAGAAACCTGCCACTTTCTAACATTATATATGTGTCTTTCAGAGCTAAGCTGTACATGGCTGACCTTGAATCGGGATTGCATTACCTGCTCAGGGTAGAGCTTGCTACACACAAGACACTTGAGGGAGCTGAGCTAAAGACCTTCAAGGATTTTGTTACTGTCTGTGCCAAGGTATACATTGCTAGTCTTTGATTATTTGTAAGAATAAAGTGACTCTAACATAAAATTTTTTATGTGACATAAGTCTCTCAAGATGTCTTTCACAATGTTTAAATATACGCTTCCTCACCAGCTTAAAAATATAGTTTTGTGGGTTTCTTTAAATTTTTGAGTTACTATATGTCATTCTGACATACTTACAGTTTAAATGCATTTTAATTTAATCTTAGACGGCTTGAAATTAAATAAAGCTTAAGTAGTCCACAGCATATTGAACAAACACTGTAAATATAGTCCATTTATCAGATTTTCAGGATAAGTAGCTATTGTAACTGGGTGGGATTAAAAACCCCTTTGTTTTTCATTCTTGACTTTTGGATTTTGTTAATGCATACTTGGCAGTGGTGTTCTGTTTGGAGATTGTAGTAACTTCTGTCTAAACTTTGAATACAGTTGAGGTATTTTATATAATTAATTGAGTATTTTAAACTAATTGAGGTATTGAATATAATTGGCTATTTAAAAAATAAAGATGCTTACATATTACATTTGAGCGAAGGGATGATCTACGTAATATAATGTGATGTGACTTGAAAAAAACTGGAATAATTTGACTTTATAATGTCAGCCTACTTGAAATAACCAGTGTCTCTTCATAATTACTGAGCAGCTAATCCTTTGTTTTATTTTAAAGAGAGTGAATCAACAGCTATTTGAGGGAATAATAAGGCCTATGTGAACTATTTCCAAATATCCGGATTTATCTGAAAATCAGACAGACAGTTTCTTGCCCCTGCTGTGGCCATCAGAAATCTCTAGCTGGCCTCATTTCTTTAAGAAAGTGTGGTGGTAATCTTTCCATCATATTATCCCTACAACATCCTCTCCGCTTCCTGATGGCTCCTGTCCAGCTGATGTCATTTGCTTCCCTGGCTATTAGTGCGTAAGTGGGGAATGCTCTCTTTGAGTAGCACGCTCGTCTCCAGGCTGCCTTTCACAAGTGGAGACTGCTCTTGTTGTGGAACACTTGCTTCGTAGTTCTCATTCATAATTCTCATGTGTTTCTGTTAAGAAATGTTGATACTATCCTCTTCTTTTAGCAGCATTTATAGTGATGGCAAGTCCTGTGTCAGAGAGGTCTCTGGTTCCCTTCTTGGGGAATTTTCATTGTTGTAGAATTAGTTTTTTTTGACAACCAGTGCAGAAGTCCATTGGTTTTCAAATCCTTGATGAGACCGACACCTACCTGAGACACTGTGCAACTATTGTCTTTTAGGTAGTTTTTTAGATCATAGTGCATGATATCCGGGGGGTCCCACAGGAGTAAATGTAATGATAGTATGCAGTCTGTAGTTCAGAGCTGTGCTGATTTTCTACAGACTATTTAAGAGTTGTCTCTGAACAAAAACAATGCAAAGGGGCCTTGTGTTAGATACAGAGGGAGTTCCTGCCTGTTAGATTTGCATGGTATCAAATAAGCAGTCTGTGAATTAGAGATATTATCGATAGTTGGACAGTGGCTGCAGAGTCACTGGCATACATACAGCATGCTCTGTCATAAATTGCTTTATATATTTAATGTAGCAGGTACAAGGACTTTATTTCCCCATCTGTTAAAATACTGCTCCCTCTGGAAGGATACTTAGAGGATCGTGTGCATACTCTACTTAATTCTGTAGTAATTACAGCCACCATTAAAGCAAAATACAATTTCTAGCATAAAGTAATGGCATTACCACAGACTCCTCATGCTCGTCTGCCAGAATGTGACTTCTCTAAGTTGCAAGTTAAGGAAGTCACAATCTCCAAGTCACTTCAGAAATCACTATTACACACATGAAAGAAAAATACTCTTCTAGGTAACCAACATCAGACAGAAATCTGAACAGAAGTTTTATGAGAACTATTTTCTGTGATTAATCTTCTACAAGTGAGAAGGATTTCTGCCTCTCAGATTCACTGAGGTCTGATGCTCCATTCTGAGCTACACACAGAATTGAATTACCTTAATCTGAAATTCTGTAGAATCTGCCAAAAGTTGCTCTATCATTTCTGCCTGCTATTGAGTACCTTATTTTACTAGTTAGCATTTTGTGCCTGCAGCTTGTTAAATTTTGTAAGCAGAAGTCAGTGTGAGATAGCTTTTTACTGAAAGCAGAACAAGTAATTAATTTGCTTATAATGAAAGAAAAATCTGAAGCATTTTGAAGACAGGAATTAAGGCATTTAGAGATAAAAGTGTCCTGCTGGTAATGAGATTTGTGCTTTAAAATATTGTGTTTTCTTTCTTTCATTTTTTCAGCTTTTTCCTGGCCGTCAGCCTGTTGTAAAGTTGTTAGAGACCTTGCAAGAGTGGCTGGTGAGCCTTCCATTAGACAAAATCCCTTATGATGCTATCCTAGATCTTGTCAACAACAAAATGCGGGTAAGCTGTTACTAGTTTACAGCATAAAATACAGCATTAGTAAAGGATAAGATTCTGTATAAATCTAAGACATCACTTACTGATGGCCCCTCAGTCATAATGGACTTACAGGAAGGTTAAAATGAAAACAAAGGGAAATCATTACCAGAAAAAAAAATCCACATGAAGGAATTGAAATGACAGAATTGAAACACACAATTCTGGCTCAGTTTTGTAAGCAGCAGGCAGTCACTAACATGGATGTGTTCCCTAACGGCACCTTCAAATCATGCAACATTCCTTATGGGTGTATTTTTGAGTTGCGTTTGCTTGTTGTGCCTGTTATCAGCAGGATTTCATGGAGGTCAGAGTTTATGTGTTGGGAAGTTTACCCCCAAAATGGGATTTATTCCTGAAGAGTTTCCCCAAATGCTTCTTAATTTCCTGGCACAGTAAAGGCCGTGCTAGGAATCCTGCCTCACTTCAGTAACACAGAGCCCTCTGATATGGCTATCTTTGTATAGAAGTTAGTATTAAGTTTGTCTTCCCATGAAATGGAATTGCTATTCAAAATTTGGAAGCCTTCTGTGTGTTTTAGGAAGCAGGGGGATAAGTCTCAGAAACTAAACTCTTGCACTGGATTTTAGGTATAGTGACTAAGTAGTGATTTTCTTTTAAGAAGAAATAATAATTCCATATCTTAAAACTTTACCCCTGTAGGTCATGTAAGTCTTACTAAGTAGCATGGAATATAGTACCCAGGGGAACTGTTGCTCAGTCAGAGTTTGCAGTAGTATTTCTGTGTGTTGTGTTCATACTGTGCTCAAAAGTAAGTTTACAAGTTAAGCTACTTAATTCTGTCAGACAGATCAGACATCCGTGATGTGCCTTTTAGTACGTCTGACATCAGTGACTGTATGTTGTGTAGGTAATACATCTGTGAGAGGGATGAGTTTTATAATGGTGCATCGGAGTGTCTCAGACTTAAGGATGGTTATAAGTTTAAAATTTATTTGCCTTAAGCATGAATTCCTTAGCAAGAAGTGCAAAGGGTCATTTAGTCTTTATCCTCGGATCACCTCAACTTCAGGGTAGGCTCAGCTGTGACTGCTGTTACATTCAGAAGCACATTTAGGTCCCAGAGCTGTCTGTCTTACTTACATCTCTCTTTCAGATTTCTGGGATATTTCTCTCTAGGAAGGTTCAATGGGTCGGGTGTCAGGGCAGCAGACCCGAGCTGCGGGGTTATACCTGTTCCCTTTGGAAGCTGTTTCACACCCTCACCGTTCAAGCTGCGCTGCAACCAAAGGCCTTGATACATACAGGTAAGCAGCAGTTATGTGAGACACTTGGAGGAAAAATCAAATATGTACAGCAGTTGTGCTGTACAATAGAGAGAAAACGGATTAGACCAAATATTTTAGTAAATACCCAAATAATACATTGGTGGAGGCCAGTGGCTTTCAGGTTTGCACCAGCAGAGGTCAGAGCAGAGCTTCCCTGCTGCAGAAGGCTTCAAAGAAAGCAGGTCAGTTTGTCCTTGCTTAGAGATGAGGTAAATAAAGTGTGTGGCCCGAAAGGTGTGAGCAATAAAGCAGAAATGGAGAGAATTTCAAACAAAGAAATTTTGAACTACCTTAAAAGGGAGGAAGGTTATTCAGGTTACCTGAGGTTGCACTGCTAATTGAATTTGAGAAGAATGAGATTGAACCATGCAGTTTAGCAGCTGTGAAAGATACACAACCATTAGCCAATCCTTCTGTAATATTATTTCTTAAATACTGAATGTTGTGGCTGTTTGGGTTTGTTTTTTCAGCTGAATGTACTCAGTGTCCATTAATCTCTGCAGTGATACACTACTTTGCAAGCACTCTGTAAAATTGCTTATTTTTAGACTTGCAGCATTTTGTGAAGCAGAGTGTTTATATTTGGGTGATGACTCCTATTTAAGAAACCTGCTGGACATATAATCTATTTTCCTCACACAATGGAAATAGAATTATTAATGCTAAAATATTGACCTTCATATGTTTTTATTCTTGCCAGGATAGTGCTTTGTTTGGTTATTGTTCTATTTAGTTTTCATGTAAAACCTTTCTGATGTCTTTTCCAAGGAATATAAGAATGCCAGATAGACAGATAGATCATAAAATGCAGAAATTTGCAATTTGTCAGTTACTGATTGTATGTTAAAAAGTAATGTATTCTTTCAAATTATGGGTACATACATCTGCCCAGCAACACTTGTAACCATGGTGAAAATCTCTCAATTTTAATATTGAAGCTCCTGTTGTTGGGTTTTTTTCCCTTTCTCTTCCCTTTAATTTAGTACTGTGCTCTGCCCGGTGAATTTGTGGGTTTTGTGCTGGATGTTATGTTAGCATGCAGAAGTTAAATTTCCCCTTTTGTCCCAATTGCCAAAAGTGTTCTGATTAAATCTAAAAAAGTTCTTAACATTTAACTATACAAAATTGCATCTTAAATTGCTCCCATGTTTCAAGCATGAGCTCTTTGTCAGTGTGAAGTTAAAAATACATTGTAGAACCTGAAAACTCTTTGGCACACTTAGCCATCGATTTAAATCGGGGCAGATATGTGATGATCACTTCTTATGGCGAAAGAATTGGGTCAGTCTGAGACTGTCGGATTATGTCTTGGGAGGTTTTCCTCTCCTTATTGCTTGTTTAAATCCCATCTACTAAAAAGCATGATGTACTCCCTAATCCTTCCCACCACAGGTAGGGTTTTACGGTTCTTGTCCACTTTAAAGATTAGGGTTACCCTGAATTGCAGTAGTTTGGGAGGAAAGAGAAAAGGAGGATTACATGATGATACATGGCAGATGTTAATAGAAGATTCATCTCTGGGCTGATAAAAGAAAAACAAACAAAATGAGCCATTTTGCAATTGTTTGTTTTCTTTTGAAAGCAGCTGTATTTTTCTTGATAGTTTCCTCTTCTGGCAGCGTCTGGCAGGCAGAGGGAACCTGCTGTGGCTTTCTACATAGCATGTTTTTATTGGGTTGTATTTGACATGTTCTAATGTGCAACGGTGTAATTTGAACCTGCTCAGCATAGGGGAATCCAAAGGAACTCTGAACAGAACTTCTCACACCTGAGGATGTATAAAATCATTGCGGAAATCTATTCCTGAGCACGCTTAATTATATGAAATGTGGGTTTAGGTAATAGGATCTATTAGTGTGAATAAGACAGGCTTGTGGGGTTTATAAAAATGATCTGGATTCTGTTTAATCTGTTGCTGAATTTCAAAGGCAAAATGAATTGTCAGGAGTGTAACGTTACACGGGAGGACAGATACAATTGAATTTGTGTATCACTCTGTTCCTCCATAAACAGGTTATTTGCAAGTAGTCACTTCTGGTGTGTTTGTTACAGGTTCTTTCTAACTATATCTTTTAGTACACATGGTAAAACTGTTCTGCCTGAAATTCGTTTCAACTTTCCAAAATTATTTTTCAGCCTTTCTTTTAATACTGTAATTTAATCTGCTTTAATCTCATAGCTTTTATTTATACATGCCTGTTCAATCACAGATATTGAATGTCTGAGTAGAGACTGTTTCCTTTTTATGATTTCTTTTTGGCTTTGAAGGATTTTTTTTGCTGCTCTGTTTAAGAATATAACTGCATTGTTGTAAGTAAAGGTGTTCAACAGTCTTCATGCATCTCTTAAATACAAGACAGATAAATACTCTGATAGTTTTGAATGGGTTTTGTTGAGAATTCTTTTCCCCCCGAAAAATAATGCATATACAGAGGGGATATGTGCTACCAAACTGTTTGTTACTCACTGCCAGAACAGGATAGTGAGCAAAGCGCTGTAACCCTTTACTACAGCACCTACAAAACCTGCGTTGTAAATTGCTCATGGTAGAGACGTTCAGCTGCAGGAGTTGGTAATTTGATCAATCTGCATCATAAAACGTGTTTAGTTTGACAAGTGTGTGTTCCTGGTAACATATAGTACATTTGTAAACACATTTTGACAGAATTTACTAGGTCAATTAAGCATGAATCAGGAAATCTGTGTGACGGAGATGAAACCATTAGGATTTCAATGAATTATATCAGCTTCTCGAGCCACTTACAGATGTAGGGACTATCTGCTGCCATAGTAAAGGCCCAGGATAGAGTTCTTAATCTGTGAAGACCTTAGCTTACTTCTAAATAAAATAAGGATTCTTTTGCATTATTTTTAGTGTAAAAGTGTGAGTGTTGTAGAAATAATAATGTGTTTGTATTTATTTTAGGAGGAATTCCTAAGTTACTCTTGAAAATTCAGATGTTGCTAAGTAGCTATTATGTGTATTCATTCAGTGCCTGCCAAAAAAGCCATGGTATTAGTAACTGTAATGAGATTCTGGAATTCTGTAATGCCTCAGAGTTACGGAGTAACAAACATCTCACAGGCATCTCATGGAATAGTTACCAGAGGGTTTTTGACTCTTGTTTTTTCAGTAGCAAGGTCACCACAACTTTAATGCCTGAGCATAAATGTGATGGTGAATGCGTAACATAAATACTCATTTAGTTATTGGGCAAGATATTGGAGAAAGTCTCTACTTCCAGAAGAATTGTGTGAAGTACAGATAGCATGGGCTTTGCATGGTTGAACAATCTCAAAATGCACCGTGATAATGGGCTTCTGAAGAAGCAATAATGTCTGATTTTCATTTAGCTAAGTTTGTCCTCCCCTCAAATCATAAGATACTCTCTGAAAGGAGAGATTTCACTGTAATGAACACTTGACCTTTAAGTCTTATTAAAATGTGTTCTGCATAACTGAACACAACTGTATAGACTGTGTTAGTATATATGGGTATAAATAGCTACTTCACATTTTTAGTAACACTATCAGTCACCTAGCATTTGTTGAAACTTAGTGTGTTTGAAATAATTCCCTTGTAGTTGTGTCTGATATCCCAGACAACCTTTCAAACCCGTATGTTTTGAAATGTACCATTTCAGATCACTTTAAACTCTACATTATTTTGCCAAATAATTTGGTTTCTAAATGTCTCACCTCAACAACTTGGGCAATAGTATGTATGTATTTTGTTGGGGAAGGGTATTTCTTCTAAGAACTGTGTGAGGCTTTTAACCCCACTAATATCTTTGTGCTGTACTGAGGTATAGGTGCTGTGTGATGGCACATGTGCTATGGATATCTTTATATTATAGAATTGGCTATTTCCTTACCTCTACAGTGGAGGTATAAATTTGCATGGAGCAAGAAGGTAGCAACATTTCCTTTTCTTTCCCCAAGGTTCACTTCTATGTATGTTAACATGCCGATGCTGAAGCCATGTTTGTCCAGATGGTGCTAAATACATCTCTCATCTGTTTTCCTAGGTCTTGAAGACAATCCCCAAATAGTACTTCAGGTCATGCGGAGATACATTCAGCACTTTTTTGGATGCAAGGCTTGTGCTCAGCATTTTGAAGAAATGGCTAAGGAGTCTATGGATTCCATTAAAACCTTTGACAAGGCTGTTCTCTGGCTCTGGGAGAAACACAACGTCGTGAATAACAGGCTTGCAGGTATGAGAGACCTTGTTTAGGGAAACCCACCAGAGGTAGCTGTGTCCAAAGGGCAAGGATATGGCATCTTATACAGTGTCGTTTATAGCTGAACAAAGAGATATGCAACTTAGGCTCTGTAACATGAGTTTAAAACAACAGTCACTGTTGCTCCAGCCTTACATTTGTTTACTAAATATTTTCTTCAGAAGACTAACTCCACGTTTACATCAGTGTGCAAGAAAGGGTGCTTGTGTACAGAGCAAAACCTAGAGCATCCTAATCAGCTGTGACTAAAGACAGGCATGGTAACTGTCTCATGGGTGAGAAATACACCTGTGAGACACAACTGTTCCTAGAGGATAATGTCTTCTGTGATATATAATGAAAAAACTCTGTCATTCTCAGATTCTGTTTCTTCTGAGCTTTCACCTGTTGCTTGAGGAGAGGATTTTGCTGGAGTTCTAGTCAAAGCCTTTTCAAAAGGAGCAATACAGTTCAGCTACTTATCAGGGGATAAAAAAATAATTATGTTTCTTTCTGTAAGAGTTTAACTAGATGATAAAACCTGTCTTCATCTCACTGTGCAGAGATGCTGCATAGAAAATGATGATAAGTGAAGAGGAGACTTTCTCAGGATAAAAGAGCCTAAGCTATTAGCAAATCAGCAACAGAATGAAATAAAATCACTGTATGAAGCAAATCTGTTCCCCCACTAGATTGCTCTGTTTTCAGTTAGACTGAAAGTACTGTTAAAATACTGGTTGTATTTAATCCGTTCTGTTATGGGGATATCAAGTAACTAAAGCACTAAAGAAAATTGGTTTCTCTTTGCACTAAATCCCTGTCTGCTGTTATGGATCTGTGTGATGCAGCATTAGTTACAATTTAAATATGCTATATGTTGTTTATATTATGGTTATGCTGAATTCCCAAGATTTATAAAGTATTAAATACTGCTGTGAGTATAAACAGTTTGCCTCCTTTCCTCCAAGAAGGAAAAAAGTAAATGGTGAGGTATTAAACAAAAACATCCCCTAGTGTTTGTTACTACTGCCAGGTTGAACATGGAGAAAGATAGTCCTGTTGACTTGGAGTTGCTAAGTAGTGAAGCAATATAGTTACTTAGAACATTAAGTTATTGGAAAACTCGTATGGATATTGATTTAGATGATGCAGCAGCCAGCTAAAATACCCTTTTAGTAAGAAGTAGAAACATACTGGAATAAATAATAACATTAAATTATGCTTTTTAAGTTTGCTAAAATTTCTCTTTGTGACAGTGATAGATTTTAATCCTTAAAAGCTGCATCTGTAGTTCTGGTAATGTTATATAGCTTTCCATGAGGAATGATGTTTGACTGGTCAATGAAAACACCTTGGCACAGCCTTCAAGTGTAGGTCAGGCGAGTGCTGTATATGGCTCTGCCCTATTTATTTCTTTCCTGTTGCTTCAGAATGTACAGGATTTATGGCATTCTTCTCTTTGGCAGGAAAACATGAAGTACAGCAAGTTTTCAGTTTGTAATCTTACTGTAAGATGTTTTGTTTCTATTTTCTCTACTGAAACGAATTGGTTACTGAGTGATCTGTAAGATATCCCAAATGCACACGTGTGCTCTTACTTGTAAATATCAAGGAGGCAAGTATTTTTAAGCATCCTTTGAATTCCTATGCAATATTTTGCTTAAAAAAAACCCAAGTTTTTTGCCTTTAAAAAGGATAAAAGTAATAATAAGAATCTATACTTATTACTGAAATAGTTAAAGTGTTGGTCAGTGTACTAATAACAATCAGCTGAAGAAATTAGCTTGGGATTTATACCTGGTAGAATTTTGTTCTAAAAGTTATCTCCATCCACATTTTAAAGTGTTATTTTTTAGAGCAGTGCAACACTACCTACAGCATTCAGCTCTTTGCTATCAAGACAGAAAGGTGGCCAGAGCTATGAGCAACCAAAAAGTTAAAACTGGATCTAATTCAAGGCAGTATTACATGTTTAAATGCTAAAATGCAAGCTGAAAATTAATACATCTTAAATATGATAATGGTATTTAAAGGACTGAAAACAGTTTGTTATAGTAATAATGCAAGCTATGAAAAAGCAAGCTTAGGCTGGAATGGTTCACAATATAGAAACAGGAAAATATCTGCAAGTCTTTGGCCTTGAAACTGCTGCTGCAAACCAAGCTTCAGGATTAAAGAGCAGTGAGTGCAGAGAAGCAGTTTGTTTTGAACTGTAATTCGAGTTAACCCCTGCACAGCCCAGATGATGGCTTCATGCCTTCTAAAAACAGCAATCGTAGCATCTTGTTGTATTTGAAAGTGAACGCAACAGCTGAGAGAAGAGGAAAATAATTATGATTTAGTGTTTGTGTTCTGAAAGAGGAATCAACACTTCGGAATGTAGTTGGTGCATCCATAAGGAAGCTTATGAATTTCCAAAGTTGTTCATGGTTGTCTTCAGTTTAATACAAACATCATTGTGGGCTTTTTTTGCCAACTCCACTATTTATGAGTGGAAAACGCTTTCTGTGCTTTCCAGGGAAGGTTCAGCTTTCCTAGTTCCTTCACTTCCGATATTGTTATTTTTTTCTCTTCCCAATTAGGTGCTTTGACTGAAGATCCAAAATTTCCCAAAGTTCAGTGGCCAACTCCAGACATTTGTCCTACATGTCATGAAGAAATCAAAGGATTACACAGCTGGAATGAAGCCCAAGTTCTACAGTTCATGAAGTATCACTACAGCAGTGAAAATATTCTATATAAATATGCTGAAAGCCAGACAGACTCCAGTGAAACTGAACAGGGGGATACAAGGGAGGGGAAAGACAAAAGCCTACTGAAGAAACCAAGTGGAAACAGAGAAAATAAGATCCAGGATAAAGAAAACACACTTGATTCAGAATCTAAGGTGTTAGATAAGCTAATAGCAAATCATGGACCTGTCAAAGATAGCGATAAAAGCGCGGTTCGGTCAGGCACCCTTAAAGAGGCAAAGCAGGCCGTGTCCTTCTTGGGGATTGGATTTTCCAACATAGACATGAGTCTGTGTGTCATTCTGTACGTAGCCTCATCCTTGTTTCTGATGATAATGTACTTTTTTTTCCGAATGAGATCCAAACGGTGGAAAGTGAAGTATTACCGGTCATCGGCTTAGAAGGTTAAACCGGAAACAACCTTTTCATTGTACGTGGCTGTTCAGTACCAGATACAGCTTTAATATTTATGATCAGGGATTTTATATACAGTATTCCTTGTTTCAAAACCCTTTCTTCCCAAGTCATTTCACAAGTGTTCTAGCTTAATATAGGGAGCTCGCTGTAAGAACCCTCATCGGTAAGAGGCACACAGTGCTATCGTGAAATGTCCACTGAAGGAAGCATTGCATTTGTCAGCTGAGATTGTTCCGTGACTTGCCACCTCCATCCTTTACTCATTTCCAGAGTAAACACTGCATTATGCAATCAGCTGCGCCTGCTTTAGAAGGAAATTGGATATTGTTTTGTGTACTCCAAGTCAGGTAGTTGTTGGGCTTAGGTTTTTTTAATTTATCCAGAGGTGATTTTACCTCCCAGAGTACTGAGCAGTGATGCTGTTATTTTGGCTGCTTCATTCAGAGAAGCACATATTCAGATTAATTTTTTTTTTCAGGAAACAAGTTCTATTCTGATTAAATCAATTCCAAACCCTCTGATGTGACATTCTGAAATATTATTTACACTGCGTATTTGAAGTGGAAAGCACTATGTGTCCAAATAAGTCTTCCATTCTCTTGTGCACTCCAGCCAAAGCTGTGTCTGTCTCTGCTAGGATGAGAGTTTTAGGGCAGTTTGTATCTCAATAAGCAGCCTGATTCTGATTGCTGATGCTGTCATCCAGTTTAAGGGAGTTTAGATGTAGATAAAGACAGAGTCGGACCCAGTGCTTCACTTCCTTCTCTATCAGACGTGTTAAAATGGAGCACTGGATAATTCCCCTCACTCATTTCTGAACTAGAAAAGTAGCTGAGCAATTACTGTGTTATGCAAATGGAACCCAATTCTGCTGAACTCTAGAAAAGGGAAACGTTTTAGTGAAGGAC